CGCGCTGCCCCCGCCCGGCCGCTGCCCTCGCCCGGCCGCCCCGGCGCCCCCCGCGGGCTGCAGCGGGGCCACGGTGCCGGGTGCACCCGTGCCAGCAGGCATGGGGTTAACGGGAGGCAGCGAGCGAGAGAGACAGAGACAGAGAGAGAGAAAGAGGGGCTGGACCAGTCCTCGGCAGCTGTTTATTTCAAGGCATCTCTCGCTCCCTCTCCCTCAGCCAAGGCTCAGCCTCAGCAAACCTTCCTCCTCCTCCTCCTCCTCTTCCTCCTCCTCCTCCTCCTCTCCTTCCTTCGTCCTGGCCATGAGAGGCACGGGCAGCAGCAGCTGTGCTCCCCCAGCCCCCTGTTCCGCCGCCCCGGCTGTGCCCCACTCGTCTCCCCGTAAGGTAAGTTCATCCTCTCGGCCCGGGCTTGGGGGACAGAGTGRGGACGGGGCTGCAGGGGCAGGGGGGGCGGGGAGGAGGCTGCATGCCCGTCTCCAAGTCATCTCTTCCCGTCTCCTTCCCTGTGTCCTTTCTCCCCCTTTTTCTTTTCCCTTTCCCCATCTAGGTGCTCTGTCTCCTTCTAGCTGACCGTCTCCTTCCTCCACCCTCTTTTTCCTCCTCTTTTAGTCAGGGKCAGGGGATGCCTGAGGGGCCGGGAGGGAGGGGACACAGCCGAGGGATCGTTGCCTCTTGCCCTCCAGCTCCGGGCTCCATCACAGACCTGTTGTGCTGGAGCACTGGAGCCTGCACTGAGGAAGGCGACTTCAGCCAAATTGGCGCAGCTGGAGAAAGGAAACAGAGGGGTCATCCCACCTCCTGCCTGGCCAAGGGTGCACCATGCGAGAGAGAGCAATTCAGATGTGGAGACTCAGCACTTGAAGCACTTGGATGCCCGGGAACAGTAGGAAACTGGGAGGCAGAAGATTGTCAGACTCATGACATGTATTGCAGGCAGGCACTAGATGGCAGGGGACCGGCATCCTAGAGTGCTGCTTGGAATGGGGCCACACTCACAGTTCCCAAATGCAGGGAGACTTAAGCTCAGAGGACCATTGATGGGCTTCACACGCCCATTCCCTTGCTATGAAAATGTCCAAATGCAGCATCACCGTTCCAGCTCTGCGTTCTGCCCCAGCCTAAGATTGCCGTGCCCAGCCCATAAGTGCTCACCCTGGTAGCCTGGCACGGGAATTCCCATCGGCAAGTCGCTGAACGCTGCAGGACCTGCACTGACTCAGGGCGAGCAGTGTCAGCCCCTCCGCGATCCTGCCGGATCCTCCTGGCTGCTGCCACCAGCCCCCTCAGCCTCAGACATCAGGCACAGCAGCCTGACGTGAGCCACTGCATTCCAACTGCCAGCCCCCAAATTCAGGCAGCTTTGGGAGGTGTTGTCCCCAGCCCCACGCATAGCAGGAACTCTTTTCCCGGATGGGCTTGGCATCTCCCACCACAGGGTACCAGCATTTGTATTCATGGTCCCAGCTGCCAAAACTCCTCCGAGCGCAGCAGAATTGTCTCCCGGGGTCATCTGCTCTGGGATTCCTCCCTTTGCCTGTCCCCACCCAGCTGAATACAGCAGGGCATATAAGCAACCCCTTTTCACCAGCACTGGGGTTCATGCTTCCTTCTACCAAACCAGGAATCACTGCATGTCTGCCTCTTGGACCATGAACTCTGAAGTGTTCATGGCCACTGAGAAAAATACAGGTGTGGTGTGCCTGGGGCACCACAGTGTGGGGGGGTCTCGCTGCCAGTGCCTGAACTCGCTCTGCTCAGTGCTTGGAGATAGCTGCTGTTCCGTGGTCCCAGATCACAGTCTCGTATCAGTAGCTGTCACCASAGCCCTTAATGCTGGCTGGGAGTTTAAAAAATGACAGCAAACCTAGCATTCCTTCTCTGTGAGGAGGGCTGGGTCCTCCTCAGGTTTGTTTTGATTTTTTCATCACTATTTCGAGTGGAATCGTTCCAGTGGGGGAGCTGGGTGAAGCAAGGATTTGCATGAAGCTCTCGGTGCTGCGGGGTTGCTAATGGCGAGCATTATTTCAGCCAGCAGTAAGTTTCATAATCTTGGCCCAGCTCTTGTGAATGTTCCATTTTTCAGGGTCATAAGCCTCTTTACCCTTCTTCTATCCCTTCCCCCTCTCCCCAAACTGGTTGGCAATTTCATTGTTCCAGTGGAATATATCCGTCATGTGAGGTCATCGCTGCATAAGGAGAGGTGATTGATTGCTTAGGTCACTGGGGCCTGTCCCATGCTGGGCTTTGAATGCTGGTTTGGAGACCTTGAACTGGACTATGTGCTCAAAGGCGAGGTGATGTGGGGTGCAGAGGGGCACGGTGATGCATTCCCGGCAGCTTGAGTTGCCGAGCAAACAGACTGCTGCATTCTGAACTAGCTGGAGCGCTCTGAGAGCAGACAGCTTCATTCCTAGAGGCACAGTATCACAGCAGTCAAGCTCTAGATGTTACAAAAATACAGATAGATCATCATCTGCCAGCTGAGCCAGACAGAATCGGGTGCAACTCTTCTCCCATCTCCGGATGGAAGGAGACTCTACCCGCTCCTCACTAACACGGCTTGTGTGCGCTTGGCTTCATTCAACTGCTCTCCAGTCAGAGCTGATCTCGGCTAGGCATCGAGAAARCTGTGAGATTCTCAGATTTTAAGGCCGGAGGGACCATTTTGATCATCGAGACTGACCTACAGCAGAGCACAGGCCAGAGAATTTCACCAATTTAATTTCCTGCGCCAAGCCCATAACTTCTGATTGAACTGTAGCGTCTCTTTTAGGAATACAGCCAGGCAAAGGCTGCAGGCAGTAGGGAACACACCACCTGCCTAGGTGAATTGTGCTGGTGTGTGACCCTCTTTATTAATAGTATTGTTCCTCATTTGAATTTGTCAAACTTCAGCATTTTGTAACGGAAGGTTACAGATTGCATTTGATGTGAGGGAGCTACAGAACACGGCTGGCACCTTGGTGCTTTTATTCCTGTGATGCCTTTTTTATTTGGATAGGATATACCTATGGCATTAAGGTATACAAGGATCCTGAACACGGAGAAGGAGTTATAGTAAGCGAATCCTAGGGCTTTCCCGGGGCATRGTAGAATCTGAACTCCAGAGCTCAGGGTGTCACATTCAAGGTTTAGTCTGAGCTCCCTGCTCTGAGCAGGAGTGCAGCAGGCTTTGCTCCTAGCCCTTAGGTTAGGTAAATTCTCAGCCCCTGTTGGTGAACTGGTAGATATTGCTTTGGGGCATTTCTACCAAGATTTGCTCTCTCACATCCCAGCAGCAGCGGGCCCATGCTGCGGGAGACTTACAAGAGGGAGAAAGCATAGATGGGTGTGGGGARCAGCAGCAGGATTCATGCTTCCATCCTGCAAATGCAATGAGAGCAGCTCCTAACAGATTAGCCCCAGTCTGGACTGGTGGTGGGCTCCATGTGCAGTAGCAAAGAACGTGTAATTCTTACTCACTGCTTTCAAGCACCAAGATTCACAAACTGAGCTCAATGAAGTGCCCTGGGGAAATAGCTTTGTCATTCACACTCTGTCATCTGTGCATCACAGGACTGGAACGCTGAGATGAAGGCTCTGTACCTAGAGTGAAAGTATGCAGGTTCCTGTTCAGACTCTGGGAGTAGCTCTGTCCATTTTTATTGCCCTTAGACCTGGGAAACATGTATGAAAGCAGGAGCTTTRCCATGWGGTACTGGTGCAGAAATTCAGTCTYTCTGCTCTGGCCCACAAAGGCTTCTTGAATGGTATGAGGTGGGATTTATATACCCAGTTAGTAAAAGCACTGTCATCCTCTCTCCGTTCTGAAGATCTACCAGTTTATTCAGGATCCACACTGGGAGCTGCATCCAGAGCCTAACGAAGGGCATGTGTTACGCTTGCCCTCCAACGCAGCAGGGTCCGTGCCCCGGACACAATCCCACTGCTGGTGGCTGACCGCAGAGTGCCCCAGACATGCTTTGTCTGCTGGTTTGTCAATATTCCACAGGGACATCTATGCTCCATTTCGAACATAAACACTCTGAGCACGGCAGAATYCAGCCTGCACTGGCTGGTATTTTCACCTGAAACCTTTGCTCCCACATCTTCCATGCTGTGGGAGACACCTCTGTCCTGCTCCCAGCTCCTCCACAGTCAATTCTGGGTGTGCCAGTGCAGGACACGCTCTCAGTCTTTGGCCATGATCCGATTATCAAACCRGAACGTGTTGACAGAGACCAACTGATTTTGCATCGTTTCTGCACTCACCTGGAGCCGCCTTTGTGGTGGGGGCAGTGGGAGTCACTACCTGTGGGCAGCAGAACCCGTGTACAGCAATGTCTCCAGTCTGAGGCTTGCACCCCATGTCACTGCCTCAGCATCATGTGCACATGAGGCTGTCAGTGCTGGGGCTCACCCCTCCCCCCACAGCTCATTCCAGACATGACCTGCTCCATAGGGCTGAAATTTRGGCAACTCTGTGTGAAAGCCATCCAAGATTTGACTCTGTAGGGTTTCTTATTCCCAGGCTTTAGATCCTGAAAGCCCATAGTCTGGGGTGTCATTKCTGGGGCACACAACCTCAGCTGAGAAGAGCAGCGATGTCTACATTCTGAGACCTCCCAACGAGTGAGGAGAGTGCAGCAACCCCAGCATTCCTACACGCAGGCACGTTTCTGAGGGTAGAGCCATTGCTGTTAGGAGGAGTGCTAGAGGTTACACATGCCCTCCTGCCATACCAAACTTCCCTGTGGCACTGGCACTGAGATCTACCTGCACCTGGAGAAGGTCATCCCTGCTGGGATGGCACTGTCCAGACCCACATCTGCATCCTGATGCAAACAGTCCCTGCCTCCTGAAGCCTTGAGCTGTGACTGAGAGTGCCATGCCACAAGAAGAGCAGGCTCTTCATCYCAGGGCACTACTGTCCTGTGGTGAGTCACAGGCGTGGCCCCAGGCACTCCAGGCCACCTTGAAACCCCTYCTGCAACTTGTGTGCCCTCTAGCCTGGGGATTCACACGAGGTGGTCCTCCATGCTTGGAATTCCCTCCCTTTCAAAATCCAAAATAAATTCTGCCACGGATTTGTGTTGCCAGACATGATCTTCCACGGCATCGTGATCATAATCCAGATGGCCAAGATCTCGCCAGTCTCTGGCTTCAGAGGAAACTTGCTCCACTCTGCTGCCTCTCTGCAGGGCTGCATTTTAATACTGAGTCCCCTCCAAGGCTTCGAGGTTCAGGAGCAAAGTACAAAGAAATGCTGAGAATAGCTGCTCTTTTCTCCTCATCTTCATCTCAGGATCCCTCCAGAGACTGATCTTGCCCCGGAGGGAGGGGCAGGGCACATTAGCCAACAATTCTTTTTTTTTCTGTGAACTTTGTTTAAATATTTAACAGAAGGAAACTAAAAATATCCCTGGTTAATGCAGCAGGAGCTAGACAGCTACTTAGTCTTGGGTGCCCTTCTTCCTGGCCCCTCTTCTCAGGTGTACATCACAGCAAGCACCCGGCTCTTCCCGAGGGAACAGGAAGCCTCCCACCCAGGAGGGGCTGCACTTTTAGTTCAGGGCATGGGGTGAGCAGGGGCAGATGGCAGTAACCCCTTAGARGCCGGGATGTGCAGCACAGCTGGCTCAGGGTTGGAGGGGCAGGGTTGGCCTCTGCATTGAYTCCCTCAGCCAAGCATCCCTATTTCTCCATCCTGGCTGCCACAGGAGGGCGTGACCCGGRGTTGTTGGCATTCATGCTTTCCCCTTCATGATGAAAGAGCAGGCTGAACGTCTCGCATGGGTTTTTTTGTCCTGTGTGTGCATGCCATTGTGGAGAGGATGCGGGGTCAGGCACGTAAGAGCTCACCGGGGAAGGGCTGGCACCACGCTGTGCCCAGCCAGGGGAAGGGGCAGGCAGCATGAAGGGCAGCCGTGCTGTCACCGGGCTGGTGCCCGAGGGTGCCGTGTGGCCGGGCTGAAATCGGCTGAGGGGACCAGACCTCACTCCGTGTGCTTGCTGCTCAGCCGTGGGAGGTGGGAGAGAAAAGGAGGAATAGGGGGAAAAGGGAGGGATGGGACMGTGCAGAGGACATTAAGACAAGGAGTGTGGGAAGGTAATTGCATGTTAGCTAAGAGGAAAGTAAATACTAAATATTTGATAGGCATATTTTTTCTCTTAAATTCTTTAGTGAGGCTGGACTTTTCTCGCTGATTCACTCTTTCTCAGTCGTCTTGGTTTATCACTCTCGTGCTTCCCCTCTCGCTCCCTCGCTCTGGCACACAATGAAGAGGCTCTTTTTTAATAAATGGATTACACGCTCCACACTATAAATAAACACARGAATTAAGATTCCAACTTGTTCCAGTGATAAGCAAACAAAGATGAAGAATCCCCCTCTCGGCCCTCAGACAGGAGAGTCCCTGGGGAAGCCACGCATGTGCCTGGGCACGTGTGCTCCAGAGATCGCTCCTTGCTTTTGTGAGCATATGCTAACGCATGTGTTTCTGTGTGGAGTTGGCATCCGGGGGGACAGCAATGCACCTCGGTGCATGGGGGGCACAGGAGCAGGAGAGGGTGCATGCGTGTGTGCATGGACTCCCTTGATCCTGCCTGCCAGGAGCGGGAACTCGCCTGGGGTGGCACATGCTGCCTGCAAGGAAAGAGCCGTCGCTGCAGCATGAGGGGACACTGACACCCCTCCCTTTTGGTTCCCAGTGAAGAAGATGAGACAAGATCCTGACTGAGCAAAGACACTGTTGCATATGAGATGGAGCCCAGTGCCTGGTAGGTTCACAGCTTCCCACAGTGGCAGGTGAGGCGGGAAGAAAACAGGAGTGTGGGTGGTGGGCTGCTCCCAGCTGCTTGGCCTTTCAGCGGGAGGGACGTTTCAGATCTGGCTCTCTTCTTCTTCCCCCACCCCACAGCAGGATGCCTCCGCTCCTCGCTCGCATCCACTCCCTGCAGCTGTGGCATCTCCTCCTCGTCGTCTTGGCCGTCCCTCCTCCTGGCACATGGTCTCTTCGCTCTCGGGGCCCGGCGGCCGCTCGGCCTCTTTGCACCCGCCGGAGCCCCTCGGCCCCGCGGTCCATCTGCATCTGGGAAAGGACCTCGCAGTCGGAGCGGGATTCCCGCTCAGATTCCCGCTCGGATTCCCGCTCGGATTCCCGCTCGGCCCTGCCGCGCCAGCGCGCCCTGCCCGTGCGGGGAGCGGAGCTGCGGCACGTGGTGCGGCTGAGGCGCCAGGCTGCGGGGGCCCGGCCCGCCACCCCCTCTGGATTTGAGGATGGCATGCCCTCCTCCCAGTACCCCTGGGCCATTGTGTGGGGTCCCACGGTGTCAGATGAGGATGGAGGTGACGCAAACTCAGCCAACCCAGGCTTCCCACCGCTGGGATACACCTTTGTCTCRCCACACGGGATAGCGACGGCGCAGCCCAACTCCCACTCGCTCCTGCACAACGCAGGGCTCAACCTGCGTGAGACCCCGGCTACCCTGCGGCCTTTCCTGTTCGGGCCCCGGGGGGAAGGTAAATGTGCCCTTTGCCTCTTTCACCCCAGCCCCTACAGGAGCAGCTTCTCCTGTAAAACTCACCAGGAACCTCTCCTTGCCCTGCTGCTCTCTGGGGACTGGAGGGAGTGGCCATCACAACCTTCACTCCCTTGTCTCACAGGTGTGGACCCCCAGCTGTATGTCACCATCACCATCTCCATAATCATTGTTCTGGTTGCCACTGGAATCATATTCAAGTTCTGGTGAGTGGGGTTTGGGCTGATGGAGGGTCCCACTGGGTCGGTGTCTACAGGAAGACTGTGGGCTTGGGACCCCCTTGTCCCAGGGGTGGCGATCTGGTGCTGCAGTCCCTTGCAAGGTTTGGCACTCAGCCACACTGGGCTCTAATGCTGAGTGCAGCGGGGTCCGTCCCACAAACCTCTTGTCACCAAGGGCTTGTCTCTTTACCTCATCCCTCGCTCTCTCCAAAGCTGGGACCGTAATCAGAAACGCCGGCGTCACTCGGGGCAGCAGAGCAGCGGGAGGCAGCAGGAGAGCCAGCAGCCTCTCACGGACCTCTCCCCCACCACTGTCAGCATCCTGGGGCCCTAYGGCGACCCCCTGACCCCCACGCCTGAGGCAGTGGAGTCCAGGCAGGGCCAGGAGGGTGCAGAGAARCTGGGTGGCCATGGGAAGAACGCAGCCTTCCAGCTCAACCGGTGAGTGTCCAGTGAGCTGGGGCAGGAGGGGCTGGCAGGGGACAGGGGCACGGGCACACCGAGGCAGGGCAAAGGTGACGGAGGTTAGCTGGGGTGGTGGGTTGGGGCAGTGTAAACGCTAATCAATTTGCAATTTCTCTTTACCTCAGGATCCCACTGGTGAACCTGTGAAGCTCCTGGGAGAGGCTGAGCTGGCTCCCCCACCCTTCTGTCACAGCTGGCGAGCGCAGACTCCGGCCGCCTCTGCTACCCCAGGAAAGAACAACCTCCTTGTGCCACGGCCCACCACCACCACCATTATTAACTAACCCCACTGGGACATGCCTGGGCAAATGGATGAGCTGGGCCTCCTTAGCCTCCTGCTGGGGGAAGGTTGGGGACTGCCCTGCCCACACAGGACAGGGTGATGAGAGAGCAGGATGGTGGGAGGGAAGACAGCTGGTGGTGTGAAATCTTGACCTCCCCAGCCCCTCTCCGAGCACATGTGCACCGACACACTTGGATCTCCGCAACTCTCTCACCAGTGCATGCCTGACATCGGGGGTAGGCAAGGTGGAAAGGTGTACCCCTGTCCCCATGGGGCCTCACCCCTCCGTGTGTCCCTTCCCATGTCGTGTGCTTTGCAGTGAACGTCTGGAGTTCAATGGCTGCAGGATTGCCCGCCAGGTGGCTCGGATGGTGGCAACTTCATTTGTTCCTGAGACCTTGGCCCTCCTGAGAGTCCCAAGGGTGGGTGAAGCTTGGGCAGAAGAGGCTCACAGAGCACCTGGCCCCCATCAACAACCCATTTCCTTGAAGGAAATACTATCTTTCCCCTAAATGGAAGATATTCACATCTTTCCAGTTTCTTTCTGCCTAGCACTCATTTGGTTTTTTTTTCTCTTCAGCTTGTATCTTCCTCACTCTGTCCTCTACATTTTTTTCCCTCATTTCCCACCYTGCTGCCACTTCTCTTGCCAGTTAAAGTTGGAAAATATTCCTTTAGCTTACCAAATGTTTTGATCTGTTGAAARTCACCTTGCTGTCCCTCTCCACCCCCCTCCAGTCCTTCAGCAAGGGTTTTCTGAAGAACACCAATCTCTGATGATGCTTTCCAGAAAATCTGAGGTGAAGGCAAGGCCTCTGCTCACTCTGTTATTTAGCAAGTGTCCTGTACACAGCTAAAGTGTGGCATGCAGACATAGCTGGGCATGAGGAACTTGAGTTTTGCTGGGGAGAGGTAGAGAATTGCTTTCAGACACTCCTGGCACAGGCAACAAGGCAGAAAATGGGGACTCTGTGCCTGGGATGACCAAGAGCAATTTAGACCTGACCTTAGGAACATTGGAAGGGTTGCCATGTACTGCTGGTAGGTCTCTCCTGGACTGAAGGTGACTGGAAACCCACGAGGCAGTGCTCATCAAAGGCTTGGGAGAGGGGATATCTGGGCCCCCAAGTGAAGCTTCACTCAGTTCCCCAGCTGGTTAGACACTGAAAGCAGTGGCACAGGTATTTGTCCAAACTGGTTGCCTGGGCATGTCCCTCTGGGCTGTGGTGGCCTGTGGGGCAGGCAGCCACACTGTCACTTAYTTGTGTGAACAAGGTCCGTGCATCTCCACCTCTCCTATGCATGGACCTATGGGTGTCACTTTGAGGAAGTGTGAGATGGCAAATTTCAGCTTAATGACAATAGTTGCTCTTTCTTAGCTTTTATGGACACCTTCAAATTAATTAAAACCCCACACTGAAGTGAAAAGATGCACATTTAGGTAAGGTTGTCCCTACAAACACCTTCAGCCTCTGGATTGATGTGGCCAGAGGCAGGAAAATCACCTACAATCTGAAGGCCCTAATGCACCATACAAGATCTCTGACAAAAGTAATCTTGGAGAGAGGGAAGCGGCCCTTTCATCCTTTAYGTCTGCATTAAAAGCCTGCTCTTTATAGGACAAAGCACAGGGAATTTCATAAGAGGCCTGGTTCTGCCCGTTTACCCAGCTGAACTATTAGGTGTTCTGGGGTCCCATCTGACTCACTGTGAAGGGCATTTAAATGAGAGTGTAAATTACAATAAGCTTCCCAAAACAGTACAGGTTTGGAGAAAATGACAGGTCAAATAAAATTACTGGCTTATTAAAAGCACAGAGTGGCTGAAAGATGTAGGTGGAAAAGGACTCTGGAGATCTCTAGTTAAGCACAGGTTGAGTCTGTGCTTACAGCAGGGGATATTRGTGCTTTACCATAGATTGATCTGTTACTGAGCCAGCCCGTTCTTATTCAGGATCCATGCAAGGCTTTGGTGGACATTTAAGCTGCAGATGGACAGGGAAGGACAGTGGCTGTTCCTGCTTGCTGCCCCATTCATTGCTGCCCCTGTTCCCCCTCTCCCTGGCACATCCCTGCTGGGGAAGGACATCTGCATGCAGCCTGCAGGAGGCTGCACTGCTGATTGCTGGCAATTTACAATATAATGCCTTGAACTGGTTGAAGTAATCTTCCAGACCAGATTAATCAGATTGTTCTTTGATCAACAGCATTTGTTGAAACAAGGCCAGAGTTTAGACGCTTCCACTTCAAGGGCTGTCCTTGGATTTTCCACATGCTGTCTGGAGAGAAGGTTTGTAAGAAAGTGGCAGGGGACCACAGGAGGCATAGTGAAAACATTTTCCAACAACACTTGATGTGGGGAAACCCTATGCTCTCCTGGCCAGGCTTTTGTAAATTCTGCAAACAAATCAGATTTTGGTGATTTGGGTTTTTTTCCCACCCCTTTTTACTTGTCTCTGGTTTTGGTAAAAGTATTTTCAGGGAGTGAAACCTTTCACGGATACTGTCRTAAGGGGAAAGCTGGTGAAGCTGTATAGAGAAAATTCTTAACAAYAGCAGAAGTTTGGGTATGATGAACATATTTTCTAAGAACAATTTTCCTAGCCAAATATGTTTTTATGATAGTCATTCAATCTCTCACACAAAAAAGGTTAGATACAGGGAAACAACTTCATTGTCCTGCCCAAACTTTCATTGCTATGCTTTATTCCYGGAACAAAACAATCATGAACACATGTTCCTGTGTTCCAGGACACACAAGCTTCTTCCAGTCAATAAATAATCTCACTGGATCTGTTTTCTCCATGACTGGAGCCTTACAAACCATCTTCCCCTACACAGACTGGAGCCAGAGCATGCCTGAGGTCTCTACCAGGCCCAGGGTAATATTTTGTAGGATGTGCACATGGATGGGTTGACAGCACTGAGTACCAAGCCAGGGCAGAGGCCAGCACCTTCTTAGTCACTGACCATCAGGTTTCCCTGTCTTCTAGATAAACAGAGGAGAAATAGAAATTTTACAGAGAGAAAAGTGTGCAGGGAAACCAACTGGAAGAGTTCATAGTCTTGGGCTAATCCTTCCCAACRTTCCTGTGCTATTAAAAGGGAAAGTCCACATGGGCTGAGCGAGATGAAGTAACTGTGTCTCTGCTGAGCTCYTGGAGAGCCCTGGCTTTGTTAACATTAGGCTGGTCTCGCTGTGAGCACAGTGGAAGGGAGGGAAGGTCTGAGGGAGAGCCTCTCCCTGTACTGTTTTGAAGCAGGAACAGGAGCCTCYTTCTCTACCCAAGAGAGTGGAATGACCACAAAGCCAAATCCTGCTTGGGCTTTCCCATGTGGGTGCAGACTTCCAGGGTGTGCTTCCACACCTCTCCTCCAGTCCAAATTCCAGGGACTCACATTCAGCCAAGCRTCCCAAAATTTTAGAGAGGGCTATCTACCTCTTCCTCAATGGCACCCAAGTGCCCTCGCAAATCTGGTCCTTTCATTTCCCACTCCATTTCCCAATGAAAAAAACACTTGGAAAGGAGTGGTTTGTTCATTCCCTGCAAATTCTCAAACACGACCACCTTGAGACTGTTGTGAACTAACCTGTGGTTTTGTTTTGTCCCTCTGACAAACCACACCTGTGGCACAGCCTTAGAGCTGAGACCTGCAGCACAAAAGTCCTGGGTCAAACTCCAGCTCCCCAGCTGCATCCCTGCTAATGTCCCATTCTAGTCCTAGCCCTATCCTGGCAGGATCACAGAGAGAGGTCCCCTCCCTTCACCAACTGCCGGCTCTCTACTCCTCTTTTCCTGTTGTTTCCCCTCTCCCATTATTTTCCCTCTTCCCACTCCTGTCCTGTACCATGATCTCCCTCCAGGTTCTCTCTCTCYTCCTACTGTTTCGCTCTCCCTACKCCTCTCTTGTTGTCCCCTTGCCACTCGGTCTTGTTCTGTCACGGCTTCCATCCTCCCCTCCGGCCTCCCTCCTGTTCCCCTGCTCAGTCTCGCTCTTSCCCCTCCCCTGCCCTTGTGCGCTGTGATATATATTTTTGTAGGATTTCTCCTTGTGGTGAAATATTCAAATCTTGTGGGATGTTAGTTTCAACATTTTTAAATAAAACTTTGCAAAATATTGAAAGCCGAGCTCTTGCTGCTGTGAAAGGTGCCACACTGGAAAAGTCATGGTGAAATGACACCRATTGTACCCTGGGCAGACCCCAGCRGGATKGRGGCTCAGAYTCCTGGCATCCCATACTCTCTTTTTGAGAGTAGAGGGAGCAATTTGGCGCTGTGTCCATCCTACCTTGGTCTCTTTACTGGCTAAAGAGGCTCTTTGACCACCCTCATTCATTTCCATGGGAGGTGGCCCCCGGTGGCGGAGGAGCCCTTCTTCACCCACTTCCCATCCAAAGCTGCTGTCCTGCCTCTGGAGCTGCTGCCTCCCGCACACGCGCTGGGCTGTTTGTCACACGCGGCTCACGATGTGGGCCAGAGTGTCCACGAGAGGTGACAGAAGCCGCGGGGAAGGGAGGGACATACAGCGCTGCAGGCGCAGAAGCCTCCCTCACTCTGTTCCCCGCGGCTGCCTCCGCAATTTCTATTTACAGCCCTGCTGCCTCCCCTCCTGGCCACAGTGCTGCTGCTGTTGCTGGTTTCCAGGGCTTTTCTGTAATTAAGCATCCTTGTCTCCTGCAACTCCTCCACTTAGCAAGCCGGCGGCAATCGGGGCTGCGGGCGGGAGGCGCATCAGGCTCGCTGGCCGCTCCGAAGGGCTGATCCCCGGCAAGGGCCGGAAGATTGCTGGTGCTGGGGATGGTTCCCAGCCCTGCTCACTCTGCCCTGTCGCTCTCTGCGKYCTTTGGGCACTGGARGTRCCCCTGATCCGGGGCGTTACTGTTRTAGGAAGGAMCAGGCTTCCCAGATCARACCTGACCTTGRTCTGTGGGGTTTCTGCCCACTGGAAGGACCCTTCGTGCTGCAGAAATCCTGTGCCCTGGACAGGATCTCTGTGGGTTGGAGGTGGCCCCAGGCCAGAGAGCAGACACAYTCTTGCGGTGGCTGTCCCGGGGTACACACGCACAAGGGGCTGAACAACACCTCTTCTGTCCCTGTGCTGAGTGTGAGAGGACAGATTCCTTGACCCCTGTTGCTTTAGGTGGAAGATCCKCTCCAGTCAGTGGCTTTGGGGCTGGGCAGGCTGCAGAGACTTGACAGAGGTGGCGATAGATTCTCATTGTGCTGAAATTACACTGATGTACTCATTGGTGCAGTGAAATGTTTTGCACAAACCTCATCTCCTTCCAGCCAGAGCTTCAGCCCTTCCTGCTGACTTYTCTGTCATCAGATGATTTTCCTCTGGTGCCCTCTCTGCACAGGCTGGGGCTGCAGGCACTCAGCCAAACACACCCCATTTCACCAGGACTCACTCYGACTCACAGGAGAAGCTCCACAAGCTGCCCCTTATTCTTCCGGCTTCCTGGAACACCGACTCCCGCTGTAGTCCCCTCCCATCACCACGCCCCACTACATCACTCCAACCCACCTGCCCGTGTTGACTTCCCACTCTTCCAGTCTGGTCCCAGCCCGGACTCCTTTTCCAGCATGTCCCTTCCTTTCCAGTCTCCAGTTTTGCCTCCTTCCTTAGTATCTCCCCCGCATCCTGTTCTCCAACAGGGAGCTAGCACTGGGAGTTGCATGCTGAATGAGGACAGCAGAGATGGAAGGAATGAATGCAATCATTTAAATCAAAGAAGAACATCTAAAACCTGTACAATTATTTCAAGACATATAAAAATCACCCTAATGAGTGGTCGAAAAACAAGCATGAGGTGTTGGTGGTTGCTGTGATTTCCTGGGAAAGAGAGTAGTTCAGAAAAACATTTTGAAAACATCTCCAAAATCTGGGATTCCCTCCAGCTGAGTGCCTTCTATAACCTGCAATAAATTATCCCATTATGGGAGAAAAAAAAAACAGGCAACTTTCAGCCTGTATTGGAAGTGTCTGTATTGCAGGGATGTAGCAGCAACCAACAACACTTGCTTACCTCCCCTGCTCAAGGACCTTTTCCAGAGCTGTGGCTGGAAATTAAGACTTCATGTGCTCTGGCTCTGCCTCCTTCTCAGGCCTGTCCTTCTGGATATCATTCCTTTGTGTGCCTTTTCAGCACACTTTGCAAGAGAGCCATCCAGACATCATGGGCATGCYGAGAGTGGCAGGAAAACACTTGTGGAGCTGGGGGCACCACGGTGCTCCTCGGGGTGGGTGTGGAGAGGGCATGGCAGCRTGGACAAGCTGTGCTAACTCAAGCGTGAGCCTTTGTGCAGGGGGAATGRAGGGCTTCCATCAGAGGTAGCTCTGCACTCTACTAAAGGGACCTGGCTGTGTGGATGGCCATTTAATTAGGAGAAATGTGCAACTTGAAACTGCCATAAAGAGTCRCCCTGAAACAAGCAACCTCTCATTTCAGCATCATGTAAAAGAGTTGAGTAGCTCCCTTGGTTCATTCCTGCTTTGATCCTCAGAGGCAGAATTGAATCTTTATTGAGAGCTGCTGTGTCTCCGAGTGCACATTGCACTCAGTGAATAATAGGCCATTCAGTGACGCATTCCACATTGATCCAAAGCCCAGCTTTCTCTGGGAGTGACCAGAATGCAAGCAAAACCATCTTCAACCTCAGATCAATCCTCACAAGGCATCTGTAAGGGGAGCAAATGCCAGTCTCTGCTCCAGGGCCCTGTCCTGCCTCTCTGTGGCTCCTAGTTAGCGCTCCAGTGGCAGGAGAGCGGATGCTCTAGGGCAGCCAGTCTAGTTTGAAGCTCAGACTTTGTCGACAGCTGGACATACCACAAGGGTTCAACAAACAAGCAAGCAAACAAGCCCGGGGTGACTTGTTTTCTGTCAGAGGAGCATGGTACGATGCCTACAGCATGAACTGGTCAAATC